AAAAGATAGCTTTCACCCACGATGAGAATAGTCTCAAGGAAAAGTAGATCCGACTTGCTGTTCTTTTGGATATACTGTACGATAAGCTGTATGGCTTTTTCGAGTACAATCACACCATATTCGCATACGTCTTGGTCAGGCAATGAAAATATGGCAGCAATGATGCATTCGACTTGCTGAGATGAAGTGAAACGTAACAAAAAGGATCTAACAATGAGTTCTTCAAAATAATTTCAAATGAGCAAATCCAGAAACTGTTAAGAAGTAAATACGTACTTCACTAGCAGCGCTATGGAAACCACCTCCAACACCTTTGCAGATATGAAAAAACAACTGCGCGCATCCTTCGGACAAGTGATCATCACCAACTTTAAACGCTTGTTCCACTACATAGCAGCAAAGCTGAACAAGCAACAAGGAATCATCTATGGAAACAAAATTGATGACCGACCTCTACCTTTTTAAGATTAGAGGATTTCCTCATAACAAAAGAGAAAGCCTCCGCCGCAAAGCGTCTGACGTACGGACGGCTACTGCCAAATAGAGGGATGAAGCGTCTAAAACATAGGATACCAATGTTTAGTGGAAGGGATGATGCTGTGAATAATTGAATCAGACAAGAGCAATGAATAAAAAAGCAAATTGTACAGGATGAGTAAACGCTGATAAAATATTTGAACCATATCCTTATACTAACACAAATGATAGATTGAACTCCTTCAACAAACTTCTCCACATCACCTTCACCATGAAAGACAGACAATAAAAAGCAGCTTCAACCGATTCGACCTCTCGTTCTCCAAGATCTGCAGTAAAAATATGCTGTCATCTTCTAACTACTAGACCTATGCGCTATTATAAGAGCAACTTTCTTACCGAGAATATTCGTGAGCGCTCCAAAGAAATCCCACATATCATCAGCAAAATCTTCCTTTAAATCACGTGCTAGAGCTAACGTCAGCTCACAAAAGGCAGGTATAGATTTGCAAGCCTAAATAGCACGTAGACAACGCAACATCTATCATTGCTTTAACCCTCAAATCGTATCTTACGGGATCTTGTAAACATTTCAGCAATGATTCCGTTATTGCGCCCTTATGATGAAGAAGCTGTGCATGGGTGCTAAGCTCATCACATGGTAGACTGTCCACGAAAGATGCTGAAATTATTTCATAGACTAAAAGGAAATAACAAAAGAAAAACTCACTGTAATCAGCTCCAAAGCTTTGGTCGTTCCATTTTGTTAAAGCTTCTGTGAAAAACAATTCGCCATCATCTAGGCTATGCATAAATCTTCTGCTAAACTTCGCATGGTCTCCACCGATAC